TGTGTTGATGCCATGAAATTTAAAATCAACTTATTTTTCCCTTTATACATTATACAATTATACATTTTCTCAGTTTAAACATTTGATATGTCATCTATGTTGTATTCTGAATAAAATATTGAAATTTGAAACTTCCACTGCATTCTGTTTTTATTCACAATTTGTACATTGTCCCAACTTTTTTGGAATCGGGTTTGTAAATATAAATCATGATTCTGTCTGAGCTATGCGTTTTAAAACGAACACTAACTAGTGTAAATATAGCCTAACAGATGTGTAAACTGAAGACTATTTGAGCTTTATTAAAACTATTTTGCACTGATTTATTGTGTTGGTTACATTTTGTTCCTTTGTGCAGTGGCTCAGGAGAGGAATCTTTGAGTTTGTATAAACATCAACAAGCTGAAAAATAAAACCATTTTATTTCTACGCTGTATTGTTGATGTCTTTCCGCGGTTGAAACACTGATTGAGTTTATTCGCGTTAAAACTAGTAGTACAGAGAAAGGAATGATCGCGTTCACTCGCGCTCCGCTCTGCACAGATCTGCGGGGCGTCACGGCTCAGACACGGGAACCGGAGCTGATCACGGCCGAGTGATCTAGTCAGAGCTTGTGTTGGGATTATATACCAGCACGTTTCTGAACCGTCCCAGAAGCGGCTCTCTAAGGCGTTTATACAGCGATCTGTCATGCCACATAAAAGACGGTCAAAATGCCATTTATTATTTGAATTTCCTGAGAAGAAGAAAAAAAAACTATTCGTGCAGTACACATGCGTACCGTACCGAAACGGTTCGGTATGAATACGTGTACCATTACACCCCTAATATATATATATATATATATATATATACTTTATTTCGAGAGAAACTCCGAATTGCGAGATAGTAACTATATTTTCTCAAGTTCTGTTGTTTTGTTTTCACCACGGAATAAAAATTTAAAAAGTTTATATTTATAACTTTTAACTTTTTTCAGAATTGCAAGAAAATACAGTTCGAATTGTGGGATTAAAAGTCAATTATTTATTATCTGTTTTTATTCACAATTTGTACATTGTCCCAACTTTTTTGGAATCGGGTTTGTAAATATAAATCATGATTCTGTCTGAGCTATGCGTTTTAAAACGAACACTAACTAGTGTAAATATAGCCTAACAGATGTGTAAACTGAAGACTATTTGAGCTTTATTAAAACTATTTTGCACTGATTTATTGTGTTGGTTACATTTTGTTCCTTTGTGCAGTGGCTCAGGAGAGGAATCTTTGAGTTTGTATAAACATCAACAAGCTGAAAAATAAAACCATTTTATTTCTACGCTGTATTGTTGATGTCTTTCCGCGGTTGAAACACTGATTGAGTTTATTCGCGTTAAAACTAGTAGTACAGAGGAAGGAATGATCGCGTTCACTCGCGCTCCGCTCTGCACAGATCTGCGGGGCGTCACGGCTCAGACACGGGAACCGGAGCTGATCACGGCCGAGTGATCTAGTCAGAGCTTGTGTTGGGATTATATACCAGCACGTTTCTGAACCGTCCCAGAAGCGGCTCTCTAAGGCGTTTATACAGCGATCTGTCATGCCACATAAAAGACGGTCAAAATGCCATTTATTATTTGAATTTCCTGAGAAGAAGAAAAAAAAACTATTCGTGCAGTACACATGCGTACCGTACCGAAACGGTTCGGTATGAATACGTGTACCATTACACCCCTAATATATATATATATATATATATATATACTTTATTTCGAGAGAAACTCCGAATTGCGAGATAGTAACTATATTTTCTCAAGTTCTGTTGTTTTGTTTTCACCACGGAATAAAAATTTAAAAAGCTTATATTTATAACTTTTAACTTTTTTCAGAATTGCAAGAAAATACAGTTCGAATTGTGGGATTAAAAGTCAATTATTTATTATTTATTTATTTAGTCATTTAGCAGACGCTTTTATCCAAAGCGACTTACAAATGAGGACAATAAAAGCAGTCAAAACTAACAAAAGAGCAACAATATATAAGTGCAAATGACAAGTCGCGGTTAGCCTAACGCAGTACACGTAGCAAGGTGTGTGTATATATATATATATATATATATACACACACAATTACCATCCCTTGCCAGAAACAAACTTCCATAACATTTAACAGAATTGACAAAACCAATGTAAAATAAAAATTTGAAAACTGAAATGACTAATTTACAAAGTTTTTGGTGGATTTCTTTTTCTGAAATGAAAATGCGATTACATTTTATTACACAATTTTCTGTGTTTTTTGGAATGTGTAATAATGCACCATATTCGAGTCGTTTTTATCATTCAAAGAGTCATTGCTATTTTTACTAATAATGGTTCCTGTGTGTTTCAGACGACTCGCCCCCAGCGGAGCGTGAGCCCGGAGAGGTAGTGGACAGCCTCGTGGGGAAGCAGGTGGAATACGCCAAAGAGGACGGCTCTAAACGAACTGGCATGGTTATCCATCAGGTGGAGGCCAAGCCCTCCGTCTACTTCATCAAGTTTGATGACGACTTTCACATTTACGTCTATGACCTGGTGAAAACCTCGTAAAGCGGCGACACGGGACGAGGAGAGGGGGAGGAGTTTCACGTAAACCATGTGATCCACACAAACTTTTTTTTTTTTGCCAAAAGTTCTCTCAGAACATTTCTCGTAACATCTTTAGGAAATGGAACGCTGGATATTTCGGTGGATTACCGCTAGTGTCTCTTATCGCTGTAGGATGAACAAACATCCCCCCCCCGACATACACGTAGCTTCACATTTCAGAGGTTCGTCTCGAGCATTTCCCATTCCTGTTGGTTGTTGAAAAAGACGTTCATCGGGAAAATTTCGTCTGGCTGTTCTGGGACGTTAAAGTGTTCATCTGTTGGACTGTTACAGCTCCGTCTTGGGTTGAAATTCAAGCTAGCGGTTTGCGCCGATCCTGGGGAAACGGTGAAAACGAAACGCGGCGGTCCGTGAAGGATGAGGAGCTTTCGGGATGTCCTAAACTTCGTAAAAGTGCCAGGAGGTGGAGGGCGGGAGAAAATGTCTGTAAATAAGACATCGTTCTGTTCTTGATGTCTTTGAGTCGGTTGCCAGATGTTTCATGTTTATCCCTCCGTCTTCTGGTTCTCGCCGGAATTGCGCACACGAGCTCCACTGTCAATCAAATGTAGGCATTTGTGGCGTGAAACCCCACAGTCTTGTTTTTATGTATTTTGTTTTCTACTTTTTATTTTATATATATATATATATATGTCATCACCACAAGTAAACGCTAATGCAGCTTTTATTATCTTAAGCACTAAATTTAGAGACTTGTTTTGCTCCCGTTTGTTTTCAATGAATTGCTACATCTTTGAAACAAAAAAAAAAAAAAAATTGAATTTCATATTTGGAACATTGATTTAACGTTCATTTCACTTAATTTACTTAATGGGCTTCATAACATATACAAAATGCCCAATTAATTGTATCATATTGCAGAGTGTGAACATCTTGGGTTATTGTTGTTATGGTGTAGATTAATGGGTTTATTGTGTCTTAGCACATGATTTTGACTCTTTAGCACTAAAAATCATACGGTTACCCAATTCCCCCGAAGTATTTAGAGATGTTACACAACTAATTGCACAAAGTGTTTAATCCCGTACCGGTTAGAAAATGCTGATGCAATAACGAAGAAAGTATTCAGGAATTTCTTTGCACCCCGTGACATTAGCGTTGTTTTTCTTTCATCAGCCTTGGAGAGATTTCTCTGACGCTTTGCCTCTCTGCGAGCATAAGCGTCTGTGCCTCGATATTGACTTCAGTATGTTTTTTTTACGTGTGTGTTTTGTCTGAAGGTTTGAGTGTTCCCATTAGACTTGTGCGAAGTGACACGAAGGCCCCCTCCGAGGAATGTTACGGTCGCAGCTACATGTTTTTTGCATTGTTTCAGCGTTTTGTGCTGCTTTCGGTTACAGTGTTCCTGTTTTCACAATTACATGAAGATTTTCTCTTGTTCCGAAGCCGCTGTCGACTGCATTGGATGCACAACTCTAGACGAGTGCCATGAAGACATGCACAGGTCAGATTTCACTCCAAAATCACGTGAATTTTTTTTTTTTAAATTTATTTTATTTTAGACCCATTGCATTTTGCAAAAAAAAATTGCATTTATTTTCATGACATTTAAGCACATTCATTCAAATTCTCATTACCTAATGCAAAAACACCTTTACTGTAATACATTAGTGTAATGCAACGTGTAATACTGTAATAATCCTGTCCAGGCACACTGATTTACACAGCATTAATCTAAATCTTTCTTATGATGTATTAATACTTTAAACTTTTTTTTTTTTTTTGGATATTGCAGTGATGGGAATTTGGGGGTTAAACATGTTAATTGATTCATAAATGGCCAAAAATGTCTAATATTACGTGGTAATTGTCATAAAAGTTATATATATATAAACACATGTGTATGTGTACATATATACAGTGGGTACGGAAAGTATTCAGACCCCCTTAAATTTTTAACTTTGTTATATTGCAGGCACACACACACACACACACACACACACTTGGAGGATTATGTTATAAATAGACTGTAGTCTGTAGTTTCACTGCACGCGTTATTGCACTAATCAGGGAATTTAAAAAATGTGATTTTCAAGCCTGGGAATTTCTATTGCATATCAAATATATAGCTCTAATTATGCTCAAGTCTAAAGTATGTTATGCGTTTCTCTGCGTGTTTATACAATTTAATCTGACCTAGTTATTGAAATGCATTGAGCAAAAGGTGTTAAACTCCATCTAAATGTGTGCTAAATCTTCAATAATTATTTTGCATGCAGCTTTTATGATTTCATATTTAATTGAAAGTCTACGTAGTATTTGTTGACCAATCTATCCGTCTATAGAGATATAATATATAAAAAATGCTATTATTACTTCATTGTAAAATCAGTCAGTATAAATAACAAATATTATATTGTTATTCTGGGTTGATAAATAGCATGGAAAACATATTATTTTATTATTTTTGCATTTGCATTATGTATTTTATATTGGCAACAATTTCTGTTCAGTCAAAATGTTGCCTTTGCCTTTTTTGTATTTAGCTTTTTTTGTACTGTATTTACATTTTTATTGCATTATACATTTTAAATGTAAAATATACATACATTTTATATATTTATAATTTATGTATATTTTACATTTAAAATGTGTGTGTGTGTGTGTATATATATATATATATATATATATAAATTGCAATTTATATATTTATATTTACCAATATAAATATAAAATATTCATTTTTGGAAAAACAGCATGGAAACCTTAAATATTGATTTTGATAAAATAAGTGTATGTATACTAAATATATAAATATAATACTAAAATAATAATATACTATATTATGAATAATAATAATAATATACTATAAATAAATTGCAGTTCATTGCTATATATTGTAATATCGGTCAATATAAATACAATATTTTTTTTGTTAATAATTTTGAAAAACAGCATGAATACATGGCTTTATTATTTTGAGCTAGAATGTTTTTTATTTGGAGGGTTTTTTTGTACTGTATTCTACTATATATATATATAATTGAATTTCACACTTTAAATCAGCCGCTATTTCTGTTTTGTCAAAACAATGGTTCCTTTGATTTCATTTATTATTTTTAGGAAGGTTTTTTTTATACTGTATTTTGCTATTTGTATTATTTTTTACTATTTATTGCATTAAACATTTTAAATTGCCAGCAATTTCTGTTTGGTTTGATTTCCTTTTTCTACTGTATTTTACTATTTAGTTTTATTGCATTATACCTTTTAAAATGGCAACAACTTCCGTTCGGTCAAAATGATGTGGATTTGAAGTAAATCCCATTCAAAGCTGTTTCAGAAAGAAGAAGAAATCTATGATGTTATATTGTATGAAATGTGTAAACTAGCTACAAAGCGTAACTCTGCTGTGGGCTGCGTGGCCTGAGGGTCATGTGTTTGTGATGTTGACGTGTTTTCTGCTGTTTTCCAGCGAGCTGAAGAAGAGATACAACATCACAGCCGTACCGAAGCTGGTCATCGTGAAGGAGAGCGGTCAGGTGATCACAGACAAAGGCCGAAAGCAGATCCGGGAGCAGGGTCTGGCGTGTTTCCGGAGCTGGCTGGAGGTGGCCGAGGTCTTCCAGAACTTTAAAGGCTGAGAATCACGCGGAGAAGGGCTGCTGAAACCAACGCTTTACCTGCAGAAAAGAGCCAGAACATTCTTATGCAATCGTGTGCAAGAGCTTTAAACATGTCTTTTCAGGTCAACAACCCACACGACTAGTGAAAAGTTACTTTACTATTATTCTTAAATAATGTGGCAGTGAGTAGATGTGTCCAAACTTTTGACTGGTAGTGTATTTAAAGGAATAGTTCACCAAAAAAATTAAGATTTGCTGAAAATGTGCTCAGGCCATCCAAGATTAGGATGAGTTTGTTTCTTCATCAGATTTGTAGAAATGTAGCATTGCATCAGTGTCTCAGCAATGGATGCTCTGCAGTGAATGGGTGCCGTCAGAATAAGAGCTGATAAAAACATCACAATAATCCACAGCACTCCAGTCCATCAGTTAACATCTGGAGAAGACAAAAGCTGAAACACATCCAGCATTAAGACGTTTTTAACTTCAAACATCACTTCCAGCTAAAATACAAGTCCATAATCCATAATAATAAGGCTTCCTACAGTGAAAAAGTCTCCAGTTCCTCCCACAGATGTGACCCTGGAGCACAAAATCAGTCATAAGGGTCAATTTCTCAAAATTGAGATGTATGCATAATCTGTACGCTGAATAAATTGCTTTGCATTGATGTATGGTTTGTTAGGATCAGACAATATTTGGTTGAGATACAACTATTATATGCCTACATACTATTAAGAAATATTATGAATAATAAACCATGACCTTTTGACTCATTTCACTGTGACGGTGACACAGACATCATGATATTTTGATAATATCAGTTATAGTTACTAAAAGCAACTTTTTCAATCAATTAAAAAAATTTTGGAAAAATCATTAAAACAGTTTTTTAATTCAAAATATTGCATAAAATTTAAATTTTGGTTAAAATTATTATTTATCATGATACAAATTTTAATGCAATAGTGAAATATTTTAATTATCAGAATTATTAAAAATTTTAATTCATTATTTATGTCTTTGAATTCATATTATAATTATTTAAAATCGATCAGAATTCATTCAAATTTTAATTAAATGTTTAAATTAATATTAAAACACTAATTTGTTATCAGAAGTAATACATATTTTAATTAAATAGATTTAAATACTTAAATTATTATTAATAAAACAATATTTCAAAGAATTTAATATTTATTAGCATCAATACAAATTTCAATTCAATATTTAAATAATTAGAATAATAGTTTTATATTTATCAGAATTAATACAATATTTAAATTATTATTGAAATGCAGGTTATTTGTGAATCTGTCTTTGGTGGCTGGAACAATAGTTCTGCCCGGACGATAACGCGGAGCCATATAGTTAATATCAGTAATACGCAGCATGCACGATACAAGGAAATGGTCAGTAACATCATCGCTTTGAGGTACGATATCTATATCAGTAAGATCAATTCCATGCGATATAATTAAATCTAGAATATGATTAAAACGATGAGTGGGCCCGGTGACATTTTGCTTAAGGATTTATTAGAATTAATGTTGTCATTTGGCCTGTGAACATTAATATTTAAATGATTAAAATTTATTAGAATCAATACAAATTTTAATGCAATATTTATTTCAAATGTATTTATTATTAAAATAATTTTAAATTAATATTAAAACACTAATTTGTTATCAGAAGTAATACATATTTTAATTAAATAGATTTAAATACTTAAATTATTATTAATAAAACAATATTTCAAAGAATTTAATATTTATTAGCATCAATACAAATTTCAATTCAATATTTAAATAATTAGAATAATAGTTTTATATTTATCAGAATTAATACAATATTTAAATTATTATTGAAATAAGGATTTATTAGAATTAATGTTGTCATTTGGCCTGTGAACATTAATATTTAAATGATTAAAATACTTATATTTATTAGAATCAATACACATTTTAATGCAATATTTATTTCAAATGTATTTATTATTAAAATAATAATTTCATATATTTATCAGAATTCATGTTTTGTCATTTGTGCTGTGAACATTAATATTTTAATTATTATTCAAATATGAATTCAGTATTTATCAGAGGTAATGTTTTGTCGTTTGTCCTGCATTGAGCTGTCCGTTGCACTTCTTTCTGTGCGTCTCTGAGTTCATTGGGTCTGCAGGAGAAACAAAGGGCAAATGAAAACTTGCTTGCCG